CTAATTAAAAATGTGAATTCCATCACAATTACAACCAATAGCAGTGGCTTAATTCTATAAAAAAAACGTAATATTTCAATAAAAATTTATTATAAAATATTATAAAAATTATAATAATTATAAAAAATTTGTAAAATATTTTACTTTGATAAAGCGAAAAAAAAAACAAAGTTTCGTAATTTAAGAAATCGTAATTACTAATGATTTATTTTATTTTTTTAACAACCTGTGATAAATATTACAAAAGAAAACTATTTATATACCTATTACAATTATTTTTAGTTACAAATTATCACCTATAGAATGAAAAAAAAAATAATAAAAAATAATCATACATGGTAATGAAAATAATTGTAGACTTGATAAACTTATTGTTGTTATAGGGATTACGTCTTACAGTTTATTAATAGCATAATCACATTATGTCACATTTCGCCCGCCCAACGATAAAAATGGTCAAAATATAAATATGATGCTGTTGGGGTAATCTTTCGAAATATATTGCACCATTTGTTTTACTTTTGACCCATGACATATGTGTAAACATTGATGTAATAATACATAAACGATAACACTTTAAAAAATACTGTAGTCAAGGAAAACGTCTTTGTATCAATCGAAATGTTCTTAATTACGTGATAGAATTTTCCATGAGTTTTTTCGTGCGAATAAGAAAAAAAATATAGGTAATAATATAACCAGACGAAACAAATATATGTAATGGATTAAATCATTAAAAAATTGTAGATAAAAATTTGACTTAAACGTTTAATATAATAAACCAAGAACAGTCTAGTTAAAGATTGACATGTTAGAGCCTCACTACCAAGTGGGGCTCTAATATTGAAACATCTGAATCCGCTCCACCGAAATAAAATATTTTTAAAAACAATACAATAAACCTATTAATATAACTTATACATTTCTATACCCGATTAAAAAAATGCACGATATCATCGTTTTACGATAGAAGATTACAATGCCCTTTATAGAGAACTGTTCAAAGTAGAAAAAATATAAATATCGATACCTTTTTGTCCAATAGAATATGTCCACCCCGACAAACCTTTGCAATTATACACAACTAATGATTTTGCTTGTCGCATGCGACATGAGATCAAATCAATTACCATCTACAGTCACTCAACTTTAAAAAAATAAAAACGGTACGTGGCACTTGTGCATTGCCGACAGAAGTGAATGCTTCTTATAGCGCGTTCTACAAAAACTTTAAAAATCCTTTTTTTTTTTCTTTAAAAATTTTGTTTAATGGTCTTAATTATTTTTAAAATTTGTTAAATATTATATAAAATTTATGCATCATTTAAATTTTTAGTATTATCTTGTATTAATGTTTAATAACTATAATTACATTTAATTTAATTTTATTTAATTTTATTGAATTTTGTTTCATTTTATTTAATTGTATTTAATTTTATTTATTTTATTTAATTTTATTTAATTTTATTCAATTTTATTTTATTTTGTTTAATTTTATTTAATTTTATTTAATTTTATTTCATTTTATTTAAATTTAATTAATTTTATGTAATTTTATTTAATTTTATTTAATTTTATTTGATTATATTTAATTTTATTTACTTTTATTTAACTTTATTTAATTTTATATAATTTTATTTAATTTTATTTTATTTTATTTTATTTTATTTTATTTTATTTTATTTTATTTTATTTTATTTTATTTTATTTTATTTTATTTTATTTTATTTTATTTTATTTTATTTTATTTTATTTTATTTTATTTTATTTTATTTTATTTTATTTTATTTTACTTTATTTTATTTTACTTTATTTTATTTTATTTCATTTATTTTATTTTATTTTGTTTAATTTTATTTATTTTAATATTATTTTATTTTATTTTATTTTATTTTATTCAATTTTATTTAATATTTTTTTGTTTATTTAATTCTTGAATGTAATTTAATTTCATTTTATTTTGGTAAAACGTTGGCGTTTATTAAACGTCATTGTATATATTTAGCAATTTATTTATATCTAGCAATTATTGTACCTAGCCTATATATTCAGAAATTTAACTAACAAAATTAATTACTAATGAAGTACTAAAGATACTATAGAGTATAGGTATTTGAATTATCAATTTTTAGAATGTATTACCAATAAATCAACCATATCATTTCAAGAAAAAAATATGATTAAAATTTCAAATGCTGGTAGTTTAGATTTCTTGGCTAGGTGGCGTAGTTACCATTCCGGACAAACAGTGTGACTTGTACTAGCCTTTTATATAAAGAGATGAGCGTCAAATAGTGTGGCTGCATTAAATAAATAGTACCAAAAGTATTTTAAAAACTTATTTAAGACAATTTTAAATGTAATTAAAGTGAGTAAAGGGAATGCAAAAAAATAATATATAATATACACAAATTTTATCATAAACAATAATTTTAGAATTATTTTGATTTCTTCATCAGAAAAAAAGAAATTCTGCTCTACTGTCTTCTTAGATGTAATACAGGCGTTCGATAAAATCTGACATATGGGTTTAAACTGCAAACTAAGAACTCTAAAGCCTAAACATTATTCAGAAATATTAAAGCCATATATTTCGGATAGATACTTCAGAAGAAAGTAATAAGAAATAAGTGTATTCCGATTTACAGGAGATTAGGCCTGGTCCTATATCTTCTACAAACGCGTGATATTCCAGAATTAAAAGTTAAGCAATATCAATTTTACAAATTAAAAAATCCAAAATTTACCAATTATAATAAATAATACTTAAGTTCCTCATGCAATGTCAGCAAAATATCTGGGTATCACCTTAAACGCGAGATTGCGCTGGAAAGAACACGACAAAAATAAAACAGAAGAGCTTGCTATTCGTTGTAAGAAAATGTATTGGATGATTAGAAGAATCTTTACTTTATCCATTAATTACAAATTGTTAATCTATAATCAAATACTAAGACCAGTTTGGATATAGGGTTGTCAACTTTGGGAATGTGCTGAATCTAGTAATATAACTATCATCCAAAGATTTAAATTAGATAATATTTTTTATTATAGATGGTATTATAACAAACAAAAAGTTTGATATCTATAAAACAATCGGTACAAACTCCATTTATTATTTAAGTGAGTAATAATTTTGTAATTGGTGCGATTTCAAATAATTTAATTTGTTTAATATTGCAACGCCACTGCATGGATCTGATCATAGATATTCTATTGTCTGCGCGATTAAATATTTCGTGGAAGTGCTCGACACTCCATTTGAAAAAAGCTGTAACAGAGTAAGTGCAAAATTCAACTGAATAAAAAAAGATCTGAAAGTTTTGATGCGCTAAAGGGTAAAAAACAAGGAGATGCCAGTCAAGTTTATTATTGAACAATCTGAAAATCTCATAGACATAAAAACCGAAAAGAAATGTGGTACAGATGTTACTATAATTTAAGTTTCAAATTTGAAAAGAAAATGATGCTATGTTATCATATCACTAAACATAAACTATCTATGGTGCGATAAACTTTTTGCGATAAATTTTGATAAACAGATTGCGGAAAACACAATCGTTTTTTTTTTTGAAAAATTTTTGTTTTATTAATAAAGCCAAGTAAGAAGCTTAAATGTCGTTTTCTTTCTAGGAAAGCTCTCACCTGGTGTCATTTTTCTGCACCTACAATATTCAAGCATTAATCCTATAGTCCCGATTTATTGCCTTGCGATTTTCACATCTTTGAGCCACTGAAAAAGGCTTTAAAAGGTAAATTTTCAAATTTTGTATTAGTTTTTGCGCCCACAAATACCACGAGCAGCTACTAGAACCTTGTTTAAAATAAAAAAGAAAAAAATTTCAACACAGCAATAAGTCTTCTTATACGTACACACGACCATATACACCAAAGTCAAAACAACTGACAAAATAACTGAATATTGACACAAGATTATTAAATACTTTAGAGAAAATCGGTGAAATATAAAAGTCTTTTAAGAAAAAAATAGAATAAAAAATTAAGCAAAGATGTGAAGAAAGCACAGACAGTAGTCTATCATAGCAGATAGAAAAAGGTTAAGAAAAAAATAACATTTGTCTGTTCGATATAATGACTAAACGCTATCGTTAATTTTTTTACTAAGGTTCACAGTAAGTTGTCTACAATTTAGATTTGTATATGGTAGTCTTTGGCTCGCAACCACAATTTACCTATCTCTTGATTTGAAATTTGCTTAATAACCAGACTGTGATTATAATTTTATGACACTTGCCATAATTCAGATAAAAGTAGATAAATACAAATTTAAATTCAGAAACTAACATAGTGTGGGTGGAAATAAATCCAATGTGCACTTTTATGACCTTAAATAAAACGTATTTCTTTTTAAAACTGTTCTAAAGCTATTTTCTTGTGGCATCTTAATGCAATTTCACTATTTTCATTTTATCCTTAATACTTGCAAAATAAATAATTTTTGTCTTTACAACTATTCACCTAGTTAGTATGCCTAGCATCGCAGTCTACCTATGTACAGTATCTATGGCTTTGATGATTCATGTTAACAATATTTGGTTTACTAATAAATTAATAAAAAGAACTATTTATATAAATAAGAAAAACTGAATCGGATAAGTAGCACAACTTGAAAGACTAACAGGAAATTGCATTATCTAATATAAATGTGAAGCCAAATTAATAAGAAAATCTTCCCCAAAATAATTCAATAGATTCCAAACTTTCAAATTAAAACCAAACTCTAAGCATTTAATTTTAAACCTACGTATGTTAATGCAAAAATAGTATTTAAAACAATTTAGTATTCATTTAAATGTATTCGGATGTTAGTTATTATTTTTTGTTATACATTTTGTAGTGACGTATTTTTAACCACCCGAAACTGGGCAAACTGCAGAAAGTACTTTTAGTTGATCGATTGTCATCATAACCATGTACTGCAATAATATAATATTCACCTGTCTACAAAATACCTACGTAAAATAATATAAAATATTTACCTGTTTTAAAACAGACCTGTGGCCACTTTCTCCGGTAATTCCATTTTTAATTGCCATATTTGGCTATTTTGAATGTCCGCGAACCCTGTGTATTTGTCCTTACACCTCTTGTGAATGAAAGTATTCACACGTAATCCAGCACCGCTGCTGCTGATGTTATCCACTATCAAATAAATCCTTTTAAAAACATCAAATCGTTATCTATCTACTAATTCGTAATTCAATTAAATAAAAAAAATCTAGAGATAAGCTGTTTATATCAAATAAATGTTGAGTAAAAAATGTATACACGAGCTTAGATATACAACAATATTTTCCATATTTAAACAAAGAAACCAGACTTAAAGTGGTTATGTACCAAAGAAAACAGTTTTTTCTTTAGAGTCTAACTAAATAAACTGTCTTAATCTTATCTTCCTTTGCGAATTTGATCAAATGCTTAATGGACCTCTTCTTAGCAGATAATTAAGTAATAATAGCAACCGACCAACATAATATAAAAATTAACAGAAAAATGTGAAAAATGGCTACTATAAACGTGCTACTCTATTGCAACATAAGGGCTGAGTAATGAGAAATAAAATAAAAAAATTAAATATAATTAAAAACAGTCTGGATAAAATGAAAACCGATGTAATAGCAATTCAAGAGATGAGATGGACTGGTCCAGGAATTATCGAGAGAAAAGACTACGATATAATTATACTCTAGCGGACGTAGCACCCGCCAAGAGTTTGGCAGTGACTTTCTAATTAGTAAAAAAGCAAAGCAATTAGTCCTTAACTTTAAACCCATAAACAACTTCTTCTTCTTTTTATATGAACATGACTCTGTGTTTTTTTCAATGTGCCTCCAGTAAGTTGTCGTTTCATAAACAATAGAATATATTATCTACGTCTTAAACTGAAATTCTTTAATTAAAGCTTACTTAGTGTACACGCATCCACGTAATTGAAGGATGACCCATATTATACAAAGAATATGATCGATGTCCACGTCATGACGTGAAAATAATTGCTGGGGACCTTAATGCAAAATTTGGCAAAGAGCAATTTTTCCAGCCAATTATAGGATGTGACAGCTTGCATAAACAGTCAAATGATAACGGGTTGAGACTAATAAACTTTGCAAGTATCAAAAACATGATGGTAGGAGGAACAAGATTTTCCCATAAAATAATACACAAAAGAACATGAAAATTATTTGACAACGAAACCGTTAACCAGATAGATTACATCCTAATAGATGCAAAGCATTCTTCCGATCTAATGGATATCAGAAGCTACCGAGGTCCAAACATAATTAGTGACCACTTTCTTGTAATACCAAAAATCAGGAGAAGTATTTCAACCCTAAAGAAGGATAAATATATGAAACAGGACAGAATGATTGTTGATAATCAGAGCATTGAAACCGTGGCGAAACCTAATTGTTGACTTCAAGGAAGCATACGACAGAGTCAAGAGAACAGTACCATACCAATCAATGCGTGAGTTTGGTATACCAGAACATTGCCTTGGGAAAGGCAGTCCGAGACACACGAATTAGAAACGGTGGTACGATATAATAGATCGATACAAATCTTAGCATACGCTGATAACATTGACATAATAGGGTGTAGCAAGCGAGATGTTGAGCAATATTTCCTAGAATTGGAAACGGCGGCAAAACAGGTCTATCTAGTCATTAACGAAGATAGAACCAAGTACATGTTTGTTACTAAGGATCCTATAGCAAATGAGGAATGGTAAACAGCATTTTGAAGTCATATCTTTAAACGTGACAGGGCAGAAACATGGAGTCTAACGCAGAAGGATAAAAGACTTGGAATATTCGAGCGTAAGATACTCCGCAAAATATTTCGAGCTATAAACGATCAAGGGCAGTGACGCAAAAGAATTAATTTCGAATTATGCCAACTTTTTAATGAACCAGATCTCGTAACGTTCATTAAAACACAGCGACTTAGATGGGCCGGACACATATTTCGAATGCTGGACAACATAAATGCTAAAAAGCTAACGACAGGAACATCTATAGGAAGAAAAAGCATAGACTGACCGCGAATTACGTGATTAGATGGAGTTGAGACCGACTTAGGGATACTAGAGATTCAGAAGATGGCAACACGTTGCCTGAAACCGAACAGAATGGCGACTAATCTTAGAGCAGACCAGGATCCACAGAGGATTGTCGAGCCAAAGATGATGATGATAATTAAAAACAGAAGAAATTTATTTACAGAGATAAGCATATATATATATATATATATATATATATATATATATATATATATATATATATAAATTGGATCAAATCCTAAAAGAGGAAATTAGACTAAAGGGAGATCGGAAGAGTTTATATTATGTTTGATACTAGAAAATTAAAAACAACTAATGTGATGCGACCAGAGGATGAGTGAGATAAAATAGGAACGCTATTCAAAAAATATCAATAAATTACGAGGCTTGTTTAATTAAAACCCATATTAAGTCAAAAAAAAATGTGTTGACAAATACAACTACACATAATTATCACTACAATATTAAGGCTCATATCCCTATGTTTCACCAACTGATGTATGGTCTGCTTAGAAAATATTGTGACTCTCGAAGGATTCTTTTACGGAATTTTATACTTCTTCGCATCTTTTTTGTCCGACTAAATCGTCCGTTTTTTTAAAGGAGTTAATTTAAGGAGCGAGGTTGGATTGTTGGTCATTGCATTTTTACAAAGAAATATCTATTAGATATGTGGGATTTTAGTAGGAGGAAATAGTTACTAGATAGTGCTATGGTTTCTCTGTAAAGCAGACCTCTGTGCTAGATCTGATCAAACGCTTGTGAAATTTCTAGGAATATAGCGTTGCAGTATGTCTTTTCTTCAAGAATTTATGATATTTCATTTATCATTCGATGGACTTGTTGGGTAGTGGAATGATTTTCTCGAAAACTAAACTGATGTTTTATACAATACAATATAGAACAATACTAGAACGTCTCAGCAATACTACTGAAATCATAAAAAGCATCAAGCAGAGAAAGCTGGAGTATTTCGAAAATGTAATGAGAGGTCCCAGATATAGGTTGCTACAAAATATCATGCAAGGAAAAATAGCAGGCAAACGCAGTCCAGGACGAAGAAGAACCTCGTGGTTGAAGAACTTGCGAAATTGGTATGGTGTTGATACAAGCATACTATTTAGGGTGGCAGTGAATAAAATTAAGATAGCTATGATAGTAACTAACGTTCTGAAAGGACATGGCATATGAAGAAGAAGAAGAAGAAGAACTGTATTAGAAAAACTGCAATGATATTCGCCAATCTTCCTTTACAATACTGCTCACAAATAAATGTACCTATTAATAAAGCAAAATATACCACAGCAAGTAATACAGTAAATTCAATCATTATTTTTTTAATTCATATTAAAATTGTAAATAACATGTAAAAACTTACCTCTGATTAAAAAAAAACAAATATCGTGGAATAATAAAATGAATCATTAGACATGCGACTTAATCTAAACTGCCTTCTAATGAACCCAAAACTAAAATAAAATAGGTATTTTATAGGTGTTATGGAACATTGAAAAAATATGTTGTGAATTGTATTTTCTATTTTATCTTGAGCACAGCCTTAAATATTTCATGTATTTAGGATTACAGAATTATTAGTATTTAAATAAATACTGTAGTAAATTTTACCCTGACTTTCAGATTCATCGTTTGGATTGATATACGAATACCTAAGCAAATCTGTATAAAACGACAGATATGTTAGTGATAGTACATTGTTTATAAATTTAAAAGTTATTAAGATATATGACTTATTAGGAAAGAAAACATATTGTGAATTAAAAAACGTAACATATTTTTACGCAACACTAAGGTTACTTATATATTTATCTTTGATTTCTTGGAAGTAAATAGCGTACTTTATTGGATTTTATTCAAAAATATGGCGCTTAATTTCTATATTACTATTTGTATAGACCATAGTTTCTTTAGAAATTTTTAATCGTCACTACCGTCAGTTGCATCAGAAAATTAAAATTGTGTACAAAAAAAAAAAGAAACTTAAAATCTTATACCTTCAATTATACTCCAGAGCTGGTAAAAGATAAAAAGCAACAATATATAAAGAGGTAAGATATAATTTTTTTCTTCTTCTAATATGTATGGAATTTTAAATATAATGTGTAGGAATTATAAATATTGATGTTTTGCAAGATGTCTTATCACCCTTTAGATGCTGGGTCTCCATTTCTCTCCCTATTCTAAGTTGCTCGTACAGCACTCGCGAAGTTTGTATCTAGCAGTTTCTCAATTTTGTCAATCCCTATTGAGGACAATCGCATTCTGTATCCCTTTTTGTCTTAAGTATAATAATCAAAATAATTAGAAAATTAGTTATTTTTTGATACAACATATCTGCATGTACAGTGTATTTTTGTCACTCGAATGATATGTGATTTAAGTCGGCTGCAGGTTTTTCATACATATAGACAGCATACTAAATCGACGATGCTGATGCCAAAAGTGCTGAATTTCAAAACTTTATTGGTGTAATTTTAACCGTAATATAGTAGATGTCTGATGACTACCATAATTTCAGGAGTTGATGTGGGATATAAGTAGAGTTTCGGGTACTCTACTTATAATGTTTAAGTTTATGATATATACTCTTTTCAATATGTGAGTATCGCTTCATTAGGTATACATCCTTTTTTTCAGTTTTCATTGGTTTATAAGAAGAATCTTAATCTATACATTCTTTGCATTTATAGATCACTTGATTCCTCCACTGAACTATTTTTTTAGAATCTGTTAAATTTGTTAGACGACCTGCCCAATAAAAGTAGAAACATTATATGCGGTGACTTGAATATTAATTACGCTGTTTCTTGTGCTACCCAATTACCCTTGGTCAATATATTCGAATCGTATGGTTTTACAATGCACGTTAATTCTCCTACAAGAATTACTAAAACAACATCTACCATAATTGATTATATTGTTTCAGGTTTCTCGCTCCTTGATGTATGCTCTACAAATTTTAATGCAGGACTATTTGATCATGAGGCAGTATATACCAAGTTTAACACTATTAACAAACAATTCTCGAAAACCCAACGTTTATTTAGGATTTTTTTTTTGCTCAGAAAATTCGTAAATTCCAAAATTTGTGCTTGACTTTTGGGTGACACTTTCCCTCTGTGGACGTGGACTATAATTTCAGTTATTTTTAAAATAGGATTGTATGTATTTTAAATAAAGCATTCCCTTTAATTACAATTAAGTCAAAACATCACAAACGCTGGACTACCAAAGGTATCCGCATATCAGCCAAGAATATGCGTTCACTACTGTGCATCAAGAAATTTACTATCAACGTCTTTGTCACTGAATATATCTCCAAGTACAGAGAAACATATCAAAACAGCTTAAAAAATGTACAATCAGAATCGTCTGGGAAGCTCTAAAAATGTTGCAAGGGAAACTTTTACAATTATATTTTTAGGAGTTTTTTACTGTAGTTTCAGTCTCAAAAACTGTTAAAACTATGTAAAGAAAATTCTTTACTCTCTTAAATCTCTGAAATTGAGCAATTTTCTAAAATTATTGATGTTTAAGAACAATTTTATCCTCTTTTTACCTAGTATAATTGGGTTAACACCCACAATTATTTTCAAATATTTTAAGCTAAGCCCTCTTGTATAATCCCCCTTTATAGCGAGCACAATCGAGGAACTGCAAATTATGATGGGGGAACTAGCAGGCAGCTCCCAATACGTCGGCCTAAAAGTAACAAAAATATTGACAAACACAGATGACCCCAGACGTATAACTATAAATGGCAGTGAGATAAAACAAGTCCAGGAATATATCTACCTAGGCCAAATCCTGAAACTTGACAAAGAGAACCAAAGTGCGAAAATTACTAGAAGAGCAAGACTAGCATGGGCAGGATTTGAAAAACTTAGTTGGATACTTAAAAACCGCAAAATACCCCAATACTTAAGGAGCAAAGTGTTCAACCAATGCATCCTTCCTATCATATGGATGTCAAACCAGGACCCTAACCAATGCAAACATGAATCAACTAGTCACAACAGAAAGCACAATGGAAAGAGCAATGTTAGGTATACGACTGTCAGATAAAAAGAGGAACGACTAGGTAAGATCAAAAACAAAAGACCAACGTTGGAATACTACAATACAACATTGGAGACCTTATGAAAGTAAACGACCAAGGGAAAGATTACATCCAATGCATCCTTCCTATCATATGGATGTCAAACCAGGACCCTAACCAATGCAAACATGAATCAACTAGTCACAACAGAAAGCACAATGGAAAGAGCAATGTTAGGTATACGACTGTCAGATAAAAAGAGGAACGACTAGGTAAGATCAAAAACAAAAGACCAACGTTGGAATACTACAATACAACATTGGAGACCTTATGAAAGTAAACGACCAAGGGAAAGACTACAGATGAGATGGGTTGATGACATTAAAAGAATAGCCGGAACAAATTGAAAATATATTGCTCAGGATAGAGACCGATGGAAGGAGTTGGGAGAGGCCTGTGTCCAAACATGGACGATAGAAGGCCAAGAAGAAGAAGAAGATCTATTGTTGTTGTACTACAGTCTTAAGTGTTTCCGAGTAGATGTGTATCTTTTAGATTTTGATCCGTTGCATTTTTCAGCTGTCTTTTCGTTTTTCTTTCTTTTTCCCCTTTCTTTCTTTTTTATTTTTGTTTGTTTGTTCTTTGTGCCTCCAGTCAATGATCATTTTTTTAACACGCAACTATAGGTACAATACCCATTTACCTTGCGTTTTATTGATAACTTGGTAGCGGTCTAACTTAAGCCCAATCACCACGTCGAGTTTGAAGAACACGATAGAGATAGTAATACTTCTTAAGAGAAAAATCTCACGTTGTTTCTCTAATTACGAAGGCGTTCCGAAAAAACTACTGGTTTGTTTTTTATTTGATTATTCGTCTTTTCTTTTCCATGCGTTTTAAGTCGTGCCACTATCTTCTAGTTATAATTTAATTCTGCAATTTTTATTTCTGTTTCTAAATTATTGTCTTCTTATTCATCTTGTTTGCACTGACCTGGACAGTCAGCAATCTTAAACACAATACCCCATAAGGAGAGATGGAATAAGATAGAGAAAGAGAGAGAGAGATTTATCTAATTGGATATAGATTACTGATCTCAGAAACGCAGCATTATATTATTGTATTTCGTTAAATTTTGCTACAAACTTTCATTTATGTTTTTTTTAATATTCCTTAAGCCGCTAATACGGTTAGGTGTTAATTGATTAAGCTCTGCAAATCTTTTTATTTAATATTACTAGATAAATCTAAAATATTTAAACAGACACAATGTCATTAACCTCTCTGTCTTTGTAGATAGTCGCTGATTAAGTTTTATATTGCACACATACTTATCTGCAATAAAATACTGTAATTTCGTGATGACGTCTTACATGGTAGACCTATGCAGTCGCTACCGAAAAAATTTCTATTACTATATTAGTTACAAGTTTAAACAAAAAATAAAGAAAACTGTACCCGTGAAAAATCCCTTCTGAGGTTCGAAAGTCTTTTGGAATATCTCATCATAATACATGTCATTACACTTGTTACTACTATTTGGTATTATAATTTTTTAATTATCTTTTATAATAGTGGAAGTTTATTCTTTTCGGGATTAATAAATTTAGCTGTATGATAGCTTTTACGAAGACATTTACCTTTAACAATATACTGTAAAATTTCGAGTTAACCGTTTTAAGAAATCAGAAGAAAAATTTTATATGTAAGGTTTCAATTGTCAGCTTGAAAATAGAAAATACATAATAATAAAATAGCCGGTTTAGGTTTAATTTTTATTATATAGTCGGTTCGCTATATTTACGCGGGTTTCGGATTAACAAAATTATTAATTACTATTAAACTGGGAATAAGCCACAATTAAAGATAAAAATACGTTTATTGACGTTTCAATTTCCACTTCGGAAATCTTTCTCAAAATACAAACAGTTTAATTTATTTATTTAATTTTAATTTACTGTTTGTATTTTGAGAACGATTTCCGAAGTGGAAATTGAAACGTCAATAAACGTATTTTTATCTTTAATTGTGGCTTATTCCCAGTGTAATAGTAATTAATTCACAATGCCACAAGAAAATAGCTTCAGAACAATAACAAAATTATGCTAATGACTCATTGATAACCAGTTGCAGTAAACCACTTCCCAGAAAATTAGGTAAAAACTGCATTAATGGTCATATTTTAAAATACATTAAAGTAACATTAGGGTAGGTATAAATTTGTTACAATATTGCAGTTGAATTGATTCTTTGCCAGTGTTGACATTGTTTGTTTGGTGAAAATATTTAAAAATGCCTAGACGTGTGTTAGATGTAGATAGTCTAATTTGTAGTATACATAAGTATTTTACGGATGAAAAAGAAAATGGCGGTCCTTTAAAATCGGTAAT